GCAGATTTAAAATGTGTAGTTGGTTGACTTTTGGAAAATGCATACACTACCCCAACTAGAAATACAACATTTCCATCACTCAGAAGGTCCCTGGTGCCCCCTTGCAATAAGTTCACCAGTCTCCCTCCTACCTCCCTTCCCAGGCAACCTCGCTGATCTGATTCCTATCAGCATAAACTAGTTTTGTCTGTTCTAGAACTTTATATAAATAGCATTATATAGGATGTACTCTTGTGTATAGCTTCTTTCACTCACACAGTCTTTGAGATTCATCCCTTTTGTTATAAAGTCTCTGTAGTTAATTTTCATTGCTGAATAGTATTCCACTGTACAAATATACCACAATTGGTTATTCATGTGTTGATGGACATTTGTATTGTTTCCATTATTGGCTATTCTGAGTAAGTGCTGTCAACATTCATGTGCAGTCCTAGCTGGTGCAGCTCAGTGGATTGAATGCCAGCCTGTGAAACAAAGGGTCACCAGTTTGATTCCCAGTCTAGGGCCCACGCTTGTGTTGCTGGCCAGATCCCCAGTGAGAGGTGCGTGAGAGGCAACCACACATTGAAGTTTCTCTCCTTGTCTCTCTTCCTCTCTCTAAAATAAATAAATAAAATCTTTTTTAAAAATCATGTACATGTACAAGGTTTTTTGTGTGTGTATGGTGACACATGTTTTCATTTCTTTTGGATAACTACCTAGGACTGGAATTACTGGATCATAGAGTAGCTGCGTGTTAACTTAATAAGAAAAACTGCCCATTTTCTAAAGTAGTTGAACATTTTTTATGCTCCCACAGCAATGTGTGAGAATTGCAGTTGTTCCACATGCTTGCCAACATTTAGTCATTCTTGTGGGTGGTAATTGTATCTCATTGTGGTTTTAATTAGTGTTCTCTGATGACTAATGATGTTTAGTACCTTTTCATATACTTATTGTTCATTTACATATCTTCTCTTACAAAATATATGTTCACATCTTTTGCCCATTTTATTTAATTGAATTGTCTTATTTGTGTAGATCTTTATGTATTCAAGAAAGAACTCCTTTTTAAAAAGATAGATGTGTTGTGAATATATTCTCCGTTTGTGACTTGAATTTTATTTTCTTCACAATGCCATTTGAGGAGCACACACTTTTAATATTGATGCCACCCAATTAATCAGGTTTTTTTCTTTTGGTTCATATCGTGTGACCAGTCCAAGACGTCTTTACTCACCCCAGGTAGTGAAGAGAGTCACTTACATTTTTCTCCAGAAGCTTTATAGTTTTAGCTTTTACATTGGGTTTATAAATCAATCTCAAATTCATTTTTGTGCCATATGTAACTTTAATTGAACTGCAAATGGAAATTTCTTTGGCTCTGTATTTGTGGGTTTATTTTTGGATTCTGTTCATGGGCAATGTCTCTCTGTACACCAGCGCCACCCTGTTTTGATGACTGAGGCTCTTCATTATGTTGTGAAATCAGTGCGTGTGAGTCTTCCAACATCATCTGTTATTTTTCAGGATTGTTTTGGCATTTAAATTTCATTTTAGACACAATTTCTTCAGAAAATCTGTTGGGATTTTTATTAGGATTATTTCAAATTTTTAGATCAATTTGAGGGACTTAACATCTTAATATTGGGGCTTATCTAAGAAAATGGTCTCTCTCCACTTACTTAGGTCATATCCAGTTTTTCTTAGCCACATTTTGTAGTTTTCAATTTAGAAGACTTAGATACTTTTAGTTATTTTTTGATGTTATGGTTTTGTTTTGTAAATTTTATTTTGCAGTTGAAAATATATGGAAATACAGTTTTTTAAAAAAAATAGTGGCATTGTTTCTAAAACTGCTAAATTTAGGAATTGGTTTTATTAGTATTTGAGTAGATCCCATCATGTTTTCTACATACATAATCCTACCACCTCTGAATAATGAGTTTTAGTTCATCCTTTCCAACTTCTTTGCATTTTGTCTTGTCTTAGTACATTGGCTAGGACCTCCAATACAAAGTTGAAGTGATGGAAGTGGACCTCTTGTCTTGTTTTTTCTGATTTCAGAAATCAGAATTTAGTAATTCACCATTGGTTAGCTACAGGGTTTTAGTAGATGCTTTTTACCAGACTGAGAAAGTTTGTCTTTTCCTAGTTTGCTAACAGTTTTTACCATTAAGAGGTTGTGAATGTTACCAAATGCTTTTTCTGTTTCTATTGAGATGATCTGTTTTTTTTCATTAATGAGTTGAAATATATTGACTTTTAAAGGTCAGCCTCTCATATACACTTGATTATGATATTTTATAATTTTTATATATTGCTGGATTCAGTTTGCTAGTGTTTTATGGTGAATGTTTGTGCCTGTGTTCAAGAGGAATGTCCATCTATAATTTTTTTCTTATAATGTTTTTATTAGGTTTTAATATCAGTGTGATGCTGGCCTCATAAAATGAGTTAGGAAATATTTTCCTCAACTGTTCTCTGAAAGAATTTATGTAAGATTGGTATTATATTTTTCTTAAATGTTTGATAGAATTCATCTGGACCTGGAGCTTTGAGGAAAGTTTTTCTAATTATTTGGATTTTTAATTCTTTGTCAGTTCTGATCAATTTTGTTTTTCCAGGATTATTCTATTTTATATGTTACTGAATTTATTGTTATAAAGTTCATAATCTTATCAATACCTGTAGGATTTATAGTGATGTTCCCTCTTCAATATTCTTCAATGATGTCCCCTTATCAATATTCCTAATATTGATAATTTGTATTTTTTTTCTTAGTCTTGCAGAGGGTATAACTATTTCATTAATCTTTTCAATAATCATCTTTTGGCTTTATATCCTGTAGTTAACTTCTTTATTATGGTATTTGATCAGAAAAGGTCATCTGTATTATTTCTAGTTAGAACTCATTGTTTTTAAAGTGTATGTTATGGATCAATTCATGATTACCCCCCCCCTTGTTTTGTGTTCTATGATTGTGTTGTTCAAACCATATATTCACACTAAAGTTTTACCTGTTTTGATCTTTTGTATTCTGACAGCACGTTAGTTTCCAACTATTGTGGATTTGTCTGTTTTTTCTTGATTTTATTCCTATTGGTTTTTGCTTTGTATACTTGAAACTCTTTTGTTAGTTGCACTGCTATATCTCCTCATGTTTTTATTCATAAGGAAATTATCTTATTAATAAATTTGTTATTAATTAATGGATTCATTGATGTCAAATCTTTTACTTTGAGTTTAATGTTAATAGTGCCTCATCTACCTTCCTTCTTTCTTTCTTCTTCCTTTCTTTCACCTGACAAATATTTTAAAATTTTATTCTAGGTGTGTTCTTTGTAAATAGCATTATTCTAAATAAGAGTAAGATTCAGACTTTTTTAAAAACAAATTTGTGCTATTTACAGTTATTGTGATTGCTGATGTTTTCTTTGTCCCTAGCTTTCTTATTGCTTTTTTCTCCTTCTTCCCATCTTATTACTTTCTTTCTTCTCCTTTCCCCATTTCCTCCCTCCAGATGTTTGCTAGCACTTTCTGTCCTGCCAGCAGGGAGAGCCTTTGGCCGAAGACCCCTATTCTTTTCCCATTGCTTTTGATGCCCTCTATAGGATAAGTAAAGCAGTGCTACCCAGCCAGAGCAGCAACTTCTCCCCATGGAAGCCTCAAATCTTATTTCTGAATTGATGATTGTATTAGATTCAGTTCAGAAATGAGATGACTAATGTTACAAAAGTACCTGTAGCCGTTACTTGTTTCTGTATCTGCATTCTTAGTAGGTGTGAGGTCCCCATCTTGACTCCTCTGCATACTGCGAGGTGTGAGACCTGTGTACAGGCTCAGTAAATATGAAATTTATATTTCAGTTGGTCTCCTCTGTACCTTTTCCCCTCCATCATGTGGACGATGTGTGTCATGCATTACTAGAGGGACACCTGACAACTTTAAACAGCAGCAAGTCAATTGAGAGGAAGTTACTCCCTGCTTTTATTCTTTCAGTTCTTTTGGGTTCTCACGGAGAAAGTCTCTGATTCTTTACCTTTCTCAAACTTGTGCTAATGCCCCCATTTGTAAGTAATGAGCTGGGCCCAAGCTCACTTCTTTGATGGGCACAAGTATTTAGAATTTAGTAATATTCTATTATTTTCTTTTTCATTGGTTTTTGGGTTACCTTGCATCTTTTCAGAGTAATTTCTGATTTTCTACTCAAGTTAGTAGTTAAATTTCACCTTTAAAATTTTTGTTTTAAAAAACAATTAATTTCAAAGAAAAAAATTTAAGTACCCATAGGATAAAGGGGTTTGACAAAATTGGAGTGACACTTGAGAGTTATTTCTCCGGCATTTCTCAGGCATCCTGATTATTTCTGCTCTATCTGCAGTACTAACTTGCTGTTTAGCAGGTGTTTCCTGAGCTTGTGCTTTGTGCAGAAAACCATGTGAGAATACAAAGAGAATTTGGTATGCTGCACCATGCAGTCCAGGCAGGGAAGAGGACATGTGTTTGTCCAACAGCTGTCATGAGTGTGCTGTGGTAACTGCTGTCAGAGCGGCCAGGGCTTCCTGCTGATGAGCAAGCCCCAAGTGGAGGTCATCTCTGGCTGGGGGCTTGAGGCCTGGGCTCACACTAGTGTTTTCACCAGGTTCCTTTCTTCCTTCCATTTGGATATCTCCTTCTAAATCCACATGGGTTTCGGGGAGAGAAGGGGCTTTTGTTTGTAGGCATTACTCTGAGAAGCACAGTGTCCAAAAGGGAAAGTGTCACCTTGGCCCTGGTTCTGACGTCCCATGTTTAACCAGACAACTACCTAATTGTTTTGAAGCCCAGTTTCTTCATCTTTGCTGGTATTGATGAGACCCGGTGTCCTTTTGCTTTAAATTTAGAATGGGGACATTTGAGGTGTGCATTTGTACATCAATTTTATTTTCACCCTACTGTTTGTACTTGAAATACTGATGGTTAATGATTTTGAGAGTATTTTAGGAGTTTAATTCTTTTTTTCTCTGTTTTTTTCCTAGGTCTCGATGCAGAACTTTATTATGTGAGAAATGACCTTATTAGTCACTACGCTCTGTCCTTTAACCTGTTAGTACCCAGTGAGACAAATTTCCTGCACTTCACTTGGCATGCCAAGTCCAAGGTAAGAGAATAGTCAGCCAGAGATGCCAGGTCAGGGCCACCCAGGCCCAGCGGCTGAGGCAAGGGCTGTATATGAAGGGTAGGCTGCCATTTGCACAAAAGGGTCAGTGGGTGGAGGGCTATAGCAGTACCGGTCTTTTCAGATTTATATTTTATGTTCTTAACCTATTCCTCTAGACATTCTCACATCTTTTAAAGTGAAGGTAGCCTGGACACTTACATTCTTCCCGGCTTTTCAAACAGAGATGAAAGTCTAGCTTGAAGAAGGGACACTTGGACCTGCTAGTGACAGTGCTGTCATGGAGACGCGATATGAAGGGGGCGGGGGTGTTGGTGAGATAGGTGTTGTAGAGATGTTTGATATAATGGATGGAGTTCTCCCATTTGTGGAGAAACAGTGAAAGTAAGGTACAGCTGACCCAGGTACCCCTGTGTATTGTGGCTAAGAACCTTTAACCATAAGGAACCTCTTGCCTGGTTTACTTGTTTCTGAATGCCTCACTTTCCTCTGACTGCCTGGGCACCTCGGACACAAGTTTTCGCATGGGTCCAAGAGTGGGAGACTGAGTGTAGAGCCCACTTCCTCCAGTCAGCTTTATATATAGGCTTCTGAGTAGAATTTTATTTGGGAAATAAAAGTAATTTTGCTACTAAAAACAAATAAGAACACCTATTGTAGAGTGGTTTTTTTAAAGTATTGTAAAGTGGTGTCTGTCCTGTATTTGTGCAAGTTGGTTATATTTGACCACTTTAATACAGATTTTTATTTCTGCTTATAAAGCAGTAATGGTTATTGGGAGAATTCAAATATTATAGAATTGTTTTAAGAACTTTTAAGACTTTGTACATCTATATCCAGAAGTAATCATTGTTTATAGTTTGGTATACTTCAAGGCTCATTTTTCTTCTTTTTAAACAAAAAGGGGATTTTTATGACACACGTGTTAAACAGCATTTTCCCCCTACCTAATACCGTGTCTTGGCATCTTTCCATTTCTCCAGTTATAGGTTTAACTCATTCTCTTTAGTGCCTTTGTAATCTGAGAGTGTATGGATGTATGATGTATGACACATGGATTTTTAATAGCATTTTATTATTTCAAACAGTGCTTTCTTTTCACTCCTTCAAGTAGTTTCCTTCACTTCATTCATTTGGTAGACAGAATCCATGGTAACAGGATGATAAAAACAATTGGTAGTTCATCTTTCATTGCTGTTATTGATAAATATAGAAACTTGGAAAAATGTGTGTGTGAATGTGTACATGTGTATGTGTACGTATGTGTATGTGTATATATGTGTGTTTATACTTTAAGGGCATCTTTGTTCAGAAACTTTTGTGCACTTGTGGCATTATTTCTGAATAATAAATTATCACAAGAAGTGAAATGATTGGGTGAAAGAATGTGTATGTTTAAAGTTTGGATTGACAGTGCCGAAGTGTTTCTCCCTTCCCTCTCCCAAGATGGTACCAATAAACCAACATTCCTTACAAAGTGAGTAAAGGTGCATGTTTCTTTTATTCACTCCCTAACACTAAATATTAAAACTAAAATGCACATATTCATATTATTATAAATGCACTCATGCATACTTTATAGAAACATTACACACACAGATAACAAGTATTAAAACATAGCTGCAGGGATGTTGTGGTTAAAGTTGAGTTAGGTTGGATTCTGGGTACAGCATGTGTGCCTTGCCATCTGGAGCACCCCAAGCTGTCCAACATTGTTGCCTTGGGGTATTCTAATATTGGGGGAGGTCTTTTAGGAGTGGACAGATATCCTTAGGATGAAAAAATGCAAAAACAGAGATCAAGAGAGAAAAATTTATGTAAAACAATTAAGGACACTTACTCCATGGTAAACCTGGGTATACTGAAGAGGCAAAATTTCTGGTAATTCAGAAAAGGTTCATTCACCTGAGACATTTAATCTGAGATATGTTGGTTTCAATGAGTGTGCACCTGAACTCTTCATGAAAACTGGACTAATACATTTTTCCATATTCTTGCATAACATTGTGTGACATTATTTGGAGGGTGCTGGTAAACTGAATTTTAATATAATAAGACAAAGAATTTTCACATATCCTTTACCCAGATTCACCAGTTGTTACTGGTTTGTTCCGTTTGCTTACTTTGTCATTAATTCTGTCTTTCCTTCTCCCCATCCTCACACGAACACACTTTTTTCCCTTGAACTATGTGAAAGTGAATTGCAAGCATCTCATCTCTACCCCTAAATACATTTTTACCTAACCAAAGTACAATGATTAAAGGAAACTTAACATTGATACAATATTATTATTATACCACAGTACTCACATTTTGTTATTTATACCAATCTTTTATGGTTCCTTTTTTTTCCCCCACCTAATTTAGGGTCATGCATGCAATTTGTCTCCTTTTATTATGGGACCTGTCCATGGCCATTGTTTGTGTTTCTTGACCTTGACATTTTGAAAATACAAAGGCCAGTTATTTTTTAGAAAGTCTCTCAATTTGAGTTGTTCAAGGTTTCCTCTTGATTAGATTCAGGAGTGTCTCTGGCTGTCACACCACAGAGGCTCTGTCCTTCACAGTGCCTGTGACATCAGCTTGTTGCATTGCAGGCGGTGTTGATTCTGATCACCTAGGTCACTGGGCCTCTCCCCTGTAAAGTTTTCTTCCTTGTGATGGATAAGGAACTGTGGAGAGATAATTTGAAGTTGTATTTAAAAATCTCACTCCTCATCACACTTTCAACCACTCGTTTTTGCATCTGTGCTAAGAATAGGTTTCACCTTTCCACCAGTGCTGTCATGAGGAGTACGTTCCTCCTCTCACTGGAAGAGGTCAGATCTGTACGAGGCAACCTTTTGGTGGGAGTGTTGTAGAATGACTTCAAACATCTGTGGAGTGGCTTGTCTTGAATTTTAAATTCCTCTGCAACTCTGATATCCAGTTTCTGTGAACGGCTTTCAGGCAGAGTACATTCTTTTATTCTCCAGAAAATGATAAGTAATCCTTTGTTACCTTTCCTACCTTTAGTGTGATGAATATGAAAACAAATAGTAGATGTATTTTAAAACAGAGAAATCACATGAAATAGTAGAGATTCTATTCCAGTTACCCCCCTAACCTTGAACACGGTGTGATTCTTTCTGGGCTCACTTCGGAAAAGAGAATGCTGATATGTCATGAGGACATTTTCTGGGCGAGTGAATGGGTAGGGACCTGTGACTAAAAAGACAATGTGGGATGTGGCATTTACTGTTGAACCAAACTGAACCTTTTGTTCATTCCCTTAAAAAACACATGTATTGATAATTTTATTTGGAATGAGTTTCAGGGAGCTGACATGACTTTAGAAGGTGCTTGAGGAGTTTTTGTAGCCTGTCCCAGGAGGAAGTTGGAGTGGAAGAGAGTAGACAGAAGAAGGGGCTCAGATGAACACGTGTGTCTGAGTGGGAAGCACTGGTGGCCTGGGTTCATGTAGTGTGGCTCTGTGTGGCTCCATATTCTTCACTCGATCTTTTACAGCATAATCTAAACTACAGTGCTTCTGTGGCAGGTTTTAAACTCTGTTGTTAGTGCACACTTGGGCTGCTGTTGCTGGTATGACACTCCCCGTGCAGTAGACGTTTTCTGACTTGTTGGAGGGTGTCAGTACTAGTCACATGGCAAGGCCAGAAGCCGAGAAGGGATCCTAGACTCCTCTCACACCTTCCTCTCTTATATAATTATACCTTGAATTCATCTCCTGCCTCTCTCAGGACCTAATGCCTCATCCTTAGTTTGGACCTCCATTGTTTCTTACCTAGATATGAAAACCTAGGTTCTTAGGTTTTCATAGGAGGAGGCCATACCTAGGTTCTTAGACCTAGATATGGTCTCCTTGCCTCTGCACTGGCCTTTAGGTACACCTGGTACAAATTTGCTCTAGGCTTTATTCTCAGTTGCCACCAGAATAAAGTTCTGATTTCTTAGGAAGCCTTCGTGTTCTTGTCCTTTCCTTTCTTTCCTGTGTCCTCTCCAGCTAATTGTTTTGTGTCGTTTTTTCCCTCTGGCAATTTCTTGAACGCCCTGAGCCATTGTTTGCTCTGCTAGAAACGTACTTTTCCTCATTGTTTATTTCATAAAGTCAGACCCGGTGTTACTTCTCCTTGGCTGTGTCAGTGTCCTTTTCTGTACCCACAGTGCCTTTCTCTCCTCCCTCATAGCCCTCATCATGCTCTTAAGAATATCGTAGCAGTGATTTTCTTTTCCGTGTCCCTCCTAGGTGCTAAGTGCCTCAAGGGTAGGAACCCCTTTTGTCTTTCTCTGTGTCCCCTGTGCCTGGTACAGCATGTGGTTCTTAGTTACAGGTGCTCCTTCACTGACTGCAGAAGAGGCGCAGGTGGGGCTCAGCTCATCAGGCAGGGAACTTCTGAACAGTAAAGCTTCTCAAAATTGCAGTGTGCTACTTGAGGAGGTGTGAATTTCCTATTTCTAGAAGCGCAAAAACATAGGCTGGGTGCATTTGACACCAGTTGTACACATGGCCTTCAGGTATTCTGAATAAAGTTGTAAATCTGGAAAAACGAATGGGATTCATAGATTGACTATATAGCTAAACTAATTTGACAAATTCATCTGTAACAGGTGTAAGAATTTAGAGGAAAGCAATCATCTTGTATCTTAAAACACTTTATAGTAAAAAATAAGGAATATGTGTGTGTTAATCTAAGGTCAGGCTTCAGCCACCATTACAGCTCATAATTCCAGTTTCAGGTCATAATCGTTGGTGATTTTAGCACAGTTGATTAAGGTTTTTTTTTAATTTGAAAATTAATCTTTTGAATATTCAGTGTATGCACATGGTGCAAAATCCAAAAGGCAAAAGGGGTATACAGTGAAAAATCAGCCCCTTACACCTTCCTGGGACCACCTCGGAGCCACCCAGCCACCTGCTCCCCTTCCCTGAGGCACCACTGTCACTTGCTTCTAGCCTCCCCTCCTGGAGGTGGGTTTTGGTG